CATTCGAGCATATTTTTGTTATTGATGCCCCTGTTGAGAAAAGTACACTACAGCCATGTGAGGAAGCAAGTAATGTTATATTTGAAGACTCTTGTGCATGTAAATATGAGGACGTAAAGAGTAATACAATTCTAGAGTTAGGATTTGGTCCTCATTCCATACATTTTTCAACATTGTGTTTAGATGATGACATGGAAATTGAGTCATCTGAGCCTTTGGAGGAGCCAATGGACGAGGAACGGGGTACTTACATTCTTGAATTCGTCGTGCCAAAGAGACAGAATTACATATCTCATCCGAAGGCCAAGAAGTGTAAAATGCGATATTGGTTGCTTGGCCCAATTAAATTTATCTCACCGCCCCGGGAGCATAACAGAAAGATTGAAACCAAATTAGGAGCTCAATTCATAAGTTCGAGGTGGAGGCAAAAAGTGGTTCACGTCGTGTCGCAGCGTTAAATTAGGCGCTTGTTGGGAGACAGCCCAGCTTTACTGCTTTCTGTTAGTTTTGATTCTTTTTTCTTATTGTATTATTTTTGTAGTATTTATTTTTATTTTGTAAGATTATGAGCATAGGAAGAAAAGACACTGGAAGTGTGCAAAAGCGAGACAGATGGTTGGAACTAGTATGAGGTATCCGCACAAAGGACCATCCTTGGGAGAAGTCTGAGTACCCCATGAGCTGCTAGTGCTTCGGCCTTTGGCCTTTTTGGGAGTTTCTTGTCCACCCTCTTTATTCTTTTTGCTTGATTTGTGCATTGGGGACACTGCACTCTTTTAAGTGTGGGGTGGGAGAATTCCTTTATATCATTAGTAGCATTATATTAGTATGTTAATTTCTTATTTTTTTTAGTTTCGTATTTTTGTTTTTTATAGTAGTGTAATATTTTAGGCGATTAATTTTAAAATTAAAAAAAAAACAAAAAAAATTGAAAAATATTGGACTTTTCCCGACGATGGATCTACTAGACAATATTTTGAGCGATTAAAGTCTAAACAAAAAAAGTAGAAAATAGAAAAAGTCCAAAAATACGTCTTTTAATTTCTTTAGGTAGTAATAATCCCCCATGATTTTTTTTTGTGCCTCAGTTCTTTTCCATGGGATGTAGTTTGAATCGGGTAATTTTTTTTTTTTTAGAGTAGATTAGGAATTTAGGGAATAAAAGAAGAAAGAATGATGAGCCTAGGCGACCTTGACTTGTTTAATAATAGCATATTTAAGCTTTGGCATGTGTAGTATCTTCCCTATGATTTGAAATTGTTGATGATGCCTTGCTTAGTTGTATAGCATATTTTGTGACGCCTATGTCTCGTTTACTTGACTTATGTTCACTTTTTGCTTAATGCTTAATATCTCGTGGCTCCGTGAATACTTGCATTGTTTGAGAGTCAGAATGTGACCGTCCTTAGTGAGTCACGTGCCATGTGTGGTGAGGTTTTTGTGTAGTCCATATTTTTGTGATTGAGTCTAGAACTTGTCCAGTATGTGAGTTGAAGCGAAATTTTAGGTGATGCTTGGTTTGAAAAATGATTTTAGGCTTTCTTTGATCTTTTCGAGCTTTATTGCTATCACAAATAAAATATATCCCTAGTTAACCATTTTGAGCCTATAGACTTTTATTTGGCACCCACATTACAAGCCTATACCCTTTTTTGTTCTAAATTGATATTGCTTTGATCTTTTTACCTCTTAAAGCACTTTAATTGTAAAATGAGCGCTAAAAGAAGTAAGAATGGACTAAGTGCGGGGTCACTTTTGAGTGGAATCAATGAAAGAAAGAAGGGTGCACTTGTTTTGTAAAATAATACACCACTAGCGAAAATTGAAAAAAAATCTAAAAAAAGAGAAGGAAAAATATAGGTGAATAAATTATTGTTTTGTTCTTGCTAGTGGGGTATAAATTAAAGTAGTGCTTAAAGAAAGAGGGAACATTGTTGGGGGTGATTGTAGTTGTGAAATTAAAGTGGATTGAGGAATTTGCGCTTAAGTTATCATGTGATGTGTTAAAGTGCTTAGGAGGTTGAGTCACTATTTCTAAATATATTCTACCATCCCTTAGCCCACATTACAACCACAAAAAAGTCCTAATTGATTTTAGATTGAGTGAGCTTACACTAGTAGAGATTTACATTAAAGGCAAGCCTATGGTACCAATTACATGCATGTGACTTCTTTTGTGAGAGTGAGCGATTTTCTTTGATATATGTGAGTCCTTAAAATATATTTGACCATTTGATTCAAATGTGTGGATTGAACTTGCTCTCTTATTCTTGTTGTGAGGGCACATGGTCTCACGAGGGATAGGTAACGTTATTAGACTTCTCTATGATGTTGAGTGTTCAAGCCACGAGTACATTGTGCCATTGAGTTAGTTTTTGAGGGTGGAAATGTTATGAGCATGTTGTTTTTGCTTTGAATACTTGTAAAGTATAGCATAAAGTGAAGGGAAGTGGGTGTTGAATGCGGATGCTAGAGCTTATTTATTGCTATCAACCATGGTCATAGGTATAGTGTGCTTTGAAGAGTAGGAGCTTAATTTTGTTTCGTCTATTATAGTTGTGTTTTGTTCGAGGACGAACAAATGTTTAAGTGTGGGGTGTTGATGATAGGCTAGAAACTCGTGTTTTAGTCGTAGTATTACACTCTAATTACTGTATTTTACGTGTATTTGAGCTTAAATGACAGTGAATTACACTTAGTACGTGTTTTATGCCTTGAAGGAAGTGATTTCGAGCTAAAAAGTTAATTTGGAGCTGAATCGATCAATTTGGAGCTTTGAAGTCTGAGTAAAAACCCAATAAGTTAAGCCGGGATCGTGTTCAGAGGTTGTGTACCAAGTCTGGATATCAAAAGAGGATGAAACAATTTTACTCTGAGAAAATAATAATGTCGTGCCGCATGGGGCGCCGCAGGGCGCGGCACGGAAGTGAAAAACTTGCCTGACAGGAAAAATACATGCCCTTTGATAATCTCCACAAGCGCGGCGCGGCGCGCGGGTGTACAAAAATCGCAGAGTAGTTTCCTACTTTGGCTTGGAAAGGGTAACTTCATCCGGGTTTATTTCTACACGGTATAAATACACCAAAAAAAAATAATTTTGAGGGAGAACGTTTTTTAGAGGAACTTTTGACGAAGGAAGAGCACAGAGCCACCGTGGAGGCCGGGTTTCATCTTTTCTTCCACCAAACTTTGTAATTTTTATGTTTCTTTGTATGATTTATTATTTGGCTATCATGTCTATGTGGAGCTAAACTTCACGTTCTAGGGTTGTGGTTCTTTCATAACTATTGTTATTCGGATATTGATTTTGTTTTCTTGACTTATCATATTGGTTTATTTATTCAATCTTGCGCTTAATTATTTAATTGCTTGATCACCAATTGAATACTATTTATGAATCTTGAATTGAACTCGAAAGTGAGAATTCTAGATTGCATATAGGATTGAGTAGAGCAAGTTCTTGACCCTGGGCATCGGGGAACGGATTCGCGGTTAGGATAGACATATACCTAATTGCCTTGTTTGGTTGATTTACAGGAATTATAAATGCGTTCTTGTTAGTTCTAATTCCACAGACATATAGGCATTAGGTTAGCTTGAATAGGCGAGTAAGAACTCGAAGATTCTTATGAGCAATATTAACCCTGGTCTAGATAAATTAGTTAGTCAATTCAATTGAAGAATATAATAGGAATGTTAGATAGCCCATAACCCTAGATCGTTTTCATCATATTGATAACATAAAAATCTGTTCTTCCTCTGTTCAAAGTTCATTATGTGTTTTTCTTTAATTTAATTAGTTTAGAATCAAATACTTCTAGTTTTAATTCTTGTTTAGATAGTTAGGATAGTCTAATGTAGTTAATAGTTAATCACAAGTCCTCGTGGGTTCGACATCCGACTTTTAGCCACTTTATTACTTGACGACCGCGTATACTTGCGTGTGCGTTTGGCCGCAACAACCTTCGGTCAGTAATCCAAGGAAATAGAGAGATTGATGATGATCGTATTAGAGCGGGGTGGATGAAATAAAGGCGTGCATCCAGCGTTTTGTGTGATAAAAATGTGTCGCTAAAACTTAAAGGTAAATTCTGCAAACTGGTGGTTAGACCGACTTTGCTGATTTAGACAGAATATTGGTCAGTCAAGAAATTAATCTCATGTCCAAAAAATAAAAGTATCAGAAATGAGGATGTTGAGATGAAAGTAGGGGCATACAAGGATAGATAAGATTAGAAATGAAGTTATTCGGGACAAGGTGGGAGTGATCCTCGTAGAGAAAAAGACGCGGGAAATAAGGCTAGGATGATTCGGGCATATGAAGTGGAGAGGCACAGATGCCCCAGTCAAGAGGTGTGAGCAGTTGGCCTTGGAGGGTCTAAGGAGAGGTAAAGGTAGGCCAAAAAAATATTGGAGAAAGGTGATTATGCAAGACATGACACTGCTCCAACTTACCGAAGACATGACCCTTGATAGAAAGGCATGGAGGCTAAGAATTAGGGTAGAAGGTTAGTAGGTAATCAATCATTTTTTTCCTGCATACCAGTAGTATTAGTAGTCTTGAATTTTCTTATTCGCAAGTTTCTATTACTACCTAGTACCTATTGTTTCTTTCGCTTCGATTTTCTTATTATTGGCATCAACTACTTGTTGTTAATGCTTCTTTTTTCATCTTTATTTGAGCCGATGGTTTATCGGAAACAGCTTCCTTACCTTCTCAAGTAAGGTTGCGTACACACTATCCTTCTCGGACCCTATTTGTGGGATTACACGTGATTTTTTGTTGTGGTGGTGGTGGTGGTGTACATATCGACTGTATGGCATCACCAATTCGTGAATATAGCAAATGAGGAGCAGATATTGTAGCAAGGCTACCGGAATCTTGCAAGCACTTATTTATTTGGGCGGCAAAAAAATTAATGATTCCAGCACCCGAATTCCTAGCATTTTTTCCACCTTTAACTGGTAAATACAGCAAGTAGCATCAACCGGAAAACATATTGGCGAAGCCAAAATTTCATTTACATCTTTCGATGTCAATGCACATTGACATAAGACGTTCGAATATGTCGTCAAGTGCAAACCAGACAACCTAAACAGCGTTGCAGGCTCATTAAAATTTGATAGCCAACTTTATTGAAATTTCCAAATGGTAAACATTTAGTGCTAGAACCATAAACACAGTCAAGAAAAGAAAGCAGCATCCGAGTCTCTGACTGATTTAACAAGACACTTCCGACATATGCTCAGAGAACACAACATTATTCACTTCACGAAAGTCTCATTGTAAAACCAATTTGTTTCAAGAGGCATATTGAAAAACGACAAGAGCCCATAATATCATCAGGTGCATTATTGGCAGCAGCAGGACTTTGCCATGACTAGAGATCCTGGTAAAAAGGGAATTCCAGTAGTCAAGAACCATACACAATAATCTCCCTGAAGCTGAGAAAAGGAATTGCTTAGCTAATGAAGCAGAAAACAGATAAATTGACCAAATAAAACAGAAAGATCTTAGAACTAAAGAGAGGGTATTTTTCCACCTAACTGGAATTGAGGCACAGTGCACTGTGCACCTTACACTGTCCTCTCATAACTTACATTTGAGCGGTCATTGACTAATAATTTTGAGCATATCAATTCAACTTTTCTCTAATTAGTTCAGATTATGGAAGCTATTTCCTACTTGGAAAGCACCTCTTAGCAGAGAATTAAAACCAAAAAGCATCTCTCTCGAGATCAATTTTCTACAAGTATATATTCCTATTATGTCATGAAATATGGTGGACCAATAAGGGGTATAGACTTATAAGTCTTGACAGAGGGTCATGCACACACCTTGTTGAGTTTGTAACCGAGCTGGTCTAAAGTGGCATGGATAGTTGAACATGCAACACACTTTTTGGCCTCTCAGCCCTTTCTGTAAACTGGCATGCAACACACTATTTGGTCTTTCAGTGCTTTGTGTAGACTGGCTTGAGAATAAATTTAGCATTTAGTTAATTTCTCAGCCCAGCATCAAATAAAAGTCACAACCCCATCCCAGAAACCGTTTATAGTTCTCAGAAGGCTGCTATCCTAAATCAACTGCAAGTCTGCAATCTTCCCAATAACTTTCAGAAGCAGACCATCAGTGCATAGTTCAACAACATACTTGGACCCATTTCCCATTTTAACCTTTAAAAAAAATGATATGTTTTGCAATTTATTCATTCCCTTGTTTTATTGACAAGTCAAAAGTTTGTGTTAGTTCAACAAACTTGGCATAAATAAGGTGATGACAATGTAGAATGGGATTAGAGAAGGCACAACCTCCCTATGGTTCCTGAAAGTTGAGAAATTCAGGTAGTACGCCTAAGTCATCAGATATTCCTTTTGCACCAACAAGCTGATACATTTGAACATTTCTACTTTAGGGAGTTCGCCAATACAGTTTCGTTGTCGGAGCATCTAAAGTTATTTTCCTTCCTAACTCAATAAGAAGTGTTCTGGAATTGTATGCCACATCCTTCTTATATTACCTGCATCTGTCAGTCATCCCTCCTGACCATCACTACAAGTCTAAAAGCCTCCCCTAGGTGAAGCGGGTAACACCTGCTTGTTGTTAAAATGCAAAGAAATATATAGCATAGCTAGTCTCAATGTAACAGTGCAAAATAAGCGACCCGAGCTAAGTTAACTGGATCCACGTTTTCCTAGCCAGACCTAAATCACCAGCCAAGCCTCCTCGAATTCATGACTACAATTAAGCTGTCCATTATTACATTTCTATATCCTAAAGAAATGCCCACTAGAGCGGATCACAAGTTCTTTACATACTTGAACAAGTAGATTTTTTGGTGTGCAACTTCCGCAATTGTAGCATCCATAGGCTTTCCTATAATCCAGGCATATATCAACACAGATAAATCAATAGTTCAAATCACACACTGTCACAATCCATTTTCTCACAATATAATTACCTCCAATCCCAAGGTTTAGCTGGCTTGAGTTTAGTTGGGTTGTGTGTTCCATTTTCCCTGGCACACATATAGCATCTGTTGCAAAAACATAAAAATTTAATAAATAGATAGAAAAGCATGTTCTTTTTCTGAAGTCGAACATGCGTCATGTTGCGCTCCAACTGAAGCAAACTGCCTTAAGAGGTGCATTGTTTCTCCCAATTATCTTCAGGTCCAGTCATTGTTAGAACTCTTATCTGCTCGTAATGTGTAGACCTGACAGGAAGAGATAAACCCTTTTTTGCACCAAATCTCAAGGAGTCAAGTTAAGAAAGCAGATCTTTAACCACCTTTAGCTCCTTAGTGAAGAGACCAAACTGTCAATATCAAATTTTGACAGTTTCTACTAAATGTTAGCTCCCATCCACATACATTTTGCATTGTAATATAATGACAACAGTCCTTTTACTCTTTTTGGGATAAATGATATAGTGACATCAGTCCATTATTAAAAAAATGATATAAAAAACATCAGTCAATGGCAAGTTAAATAAATAAAAGAACTCCTTTAAGGGAAATATGTCCAACCAAGATCACAACATAATTTTAATATCCTGCCATTTCCCACTTTAAAGCATATCCTGACAGAGAATTCATACATAATTTCCTTATCCGCTGAAATTGGATTGAAGACATACTATTGACATGAATCACAGTCTTCTAAAACTCCTTTGATCTATAGGATATATCTTCACAACCATATATAAACCAGGCTTCTGCAATGTATTTCCAAGTCTCTTACCTAGAAACTCCTCCTTTCTATCCTTTGATAACCTTCTCTCACTTCACCAAATGAAAGTTGTTATTCTCCCTTACCTTCGCATAGAAAGCCGCTTCCTAATTTCATCCAGCTTCTTCTCAGTTGCAACTGATATTTGAAAAAGAAACATTGGATAGGCAGGTATGCTGTCAAGTATAATGTTATTACGGGCTAGTGTGCCTCCCATATACAAATAGTCTTTTTCAATTTGAAAATTGTTTCCTCAAACTTCTCTATTGCAACAGTCCATGGGGAGATGGATTTATGTCTAACCCCCAGAAGTAACCTTGCAGATGCAGTAGAAGATTCTCACCAATTCTATGACCAAGAATCCTTGCCCATGATTGTATATTCTGAACTTCAATGACCAGATATAAGAAACTTTCGATAAACAAATATGCAACCCAGATACAGCCCCAGAAAACAACAGAATGAGTCGGAGAAGCATCAGTCGCTTCTCTGCTGCATCTGAAAAACATCAATGTGTTGTCAACAATAAAAGAATGTGTGAAATGCTGTCTTGATCACTATCTATGCCCAAACTCTTAAACCATAGGCTTATCTCCTCCCAAAAGTAAATTCAGCATATTGCTGAGGTCCTCGATAACCAAAATATATAGGAAGAGTGACAAAAGCTCCCCTTGCCTCCATCCCCTTTGAGAAGGAAGAACCTAAGGGAGTCAGTTATAAAAATTGAAAATTTGAATGTGGTAATGCCATAACCTATATCATCCAGAAGAAAATACTTACATGGATAAAAGCTTTTTCAACATCCAGTTTAATGAGGAGCCAATTTTGCCATGTTCCATTCTTCCCAAGCATTTGTTGACAACTGAAACAGCATCTGTGATTTGGCTTCCTTTAACAAAAGCCATCCAAGTGTCAAACACCAATTTGCTAATAACAGTCTTCGGGCCGTAATTAGCAGCTTTCTAATGATTTTATATATGCTGCTCTCAACTTATCAAAAATGTATGCACTGCTCTCAGGTTAGTTGATCTGAAATCTCTCAATTGTTCTATACCACCTTTTTGGTGTCAAAGCAATAAAGGAAGTTGAAACACCTTTATACATCCCATACAGAAACATACGAAATTGACTGAGAGCATTAAACGCATCCTCTAATCATCCCCCAACATTCTTGAAAGAGACTATGATGACACCATCAAGTAACCTTAATTAACTCCTTCACAGCCGTTAACAATTTTAGCTACCTCCTCCTCAGTATTTGCAGCATATACCTCTCTTCCTCAATAGGGACTCGCAGAATCTCATACTTAAAAGAGGGTCTCAGAGACTCCTGTACAAGTCTTGGTAACAATTCAATATGACCTTTTTTAAATTTCTTCTAGATCCTTCATCACTTGCTTTAGCTAGTCGATGTTACTACATTTTCTATTAGCCTTTGTCATCTTTTGAAAAATGGTGTTGTCGCCACCTATTTTGCGTTATAGGAAAACACAGTTTCATCTTCATGAAATTGCTTCTGCTCTAGTAACTTTCTAGAAATTCTTTGAGCAATTCTTTTTTCTGTGCAAGCCCTTCATCTGTTAGGACTCTTTATGATCTGATTGAAACTGTTCATTTTCTACATAATCTGGGACTTCCTTTGCTCCACGCTGGAAAAAATATTCAAATTCAATTCTCTTAATCTCTTCTTTTGGAGTTTTTAACTTTTGAGCCATATGAAATTTGGTTTTCCTCTTACTCTTCAGACACGGCTCCTGCTTTTTACCATGTTTGTGAAGCCATCTACTTCAACTACATGTTTCCAAAGTTAAGTAACTGGCCATTATTTTCCCGTCCACATTGAGAAATTTTAAACAAGACGGTTTATCTGGTTTTGAATCAAAAAAATTTATGCATGATGGACTGCTTGATAATTCTAAATGCATTGTCTCATTCGGTAGAGAACAGGAATCCATCAATTCTAGATGCTACCAAACTCTTAACTCATTTTATGTGAATTTTTCACCGTATAAGGAAGATCTTAAATGACCTTTCTTATATTGTTTGAGAATCTGGAAATTCTAGCGTTATTCTTCTTTCCTCTGAAAATTTGGTCAACTCAAAAACTTCCCCTATGAACCATGAGAATCCCCAAAGTTCTCTCACAGCTAGAATTTCAGACCATTTAGAGCATACAGCCAATGAAAACCCAGCGGAAATTGTGATAGGTCTAGAACTGGGAACGAAGGGTCGCCAGTTACGGAGTCTTGGCCAACCCACCATCTACAGTATAATCAAAATCAAAATAGTAATGTGAAAGAGTAAAACCCATGAAGCAAAATGTATCTAGGGTGCCATTAAGCTTTTGCACATTTATCCCAATGGTAGATTTTTGACTTCAAGAACTACCTTAGGATAAGCAGAAAAATCCAAGTTGTCCCAACCTCACTAGCCAAATCATACGACCTGCACACCATTAATACCTACATTTGGTTTTGATGAGCCAGATATCTTTTCTAGGCTTGGGATCAGAGTGGGGACCTAGTCGTGGATTGCAATATGAAAGGATGATGAAATAAAGGTAACCCCTGAGGACAATGTAATATATCGAAGATTTGGGATATCTTCTGCTATCTCTATTGGTCTACAAACTTCCCATTTTTCACTGCTAAATCATTCCTTAAATTGGCAAAATCTCACTTCATCCTTCAATGAAGAACGTAACTAGTAACAAGGTATTTTGACCTATTAGAATACCAACCAATATCAGGTCTCTGTCTCCACTTCTTAATTTAATACCAACCATGCATTACCAGTTAAAGACTATTACTAATAATCGGTCTAGCAAGAAGTTCTAACTTCACGAAATGAATACACGGACTAAAAACCAATGCGTAATCATCCCATTGCGTGTTTGGAACGTCAAGAATCTTTTTTCCCTGGAATTTTACAGCAACAGTTATTTTCCTTTACAACCATCTGAATTCCTATTTCATATTACTTGCTTCAATTGTTGGGAATAAACCCCCTACAGAAATAATATTCATAGTAATAAAAGCAGAATAATACCGTAGCACCGAGATACTGTAATTAACAAGAATAAAAGAGTGACAACGACACCAAGATTTTTACGTGGAAAACCCTTTTGAATAAGGGAAAAAAACCACGGCCCCCAAGACGAGCAACTGATATCACTATAGCAAGGAATTTTATACTTTGTAGGTCCGAGTAAAATACTCCAAAGACCACTACAACACTAAAAAGAAATAACCCTCTTTTGTTATTCCCACTTCACTACAATATCGCTCACTTTCTATTTTTCTCACAGACTATTTTCTTATACCCTGTCTGTGAAACCTCACTCTTTATTTCTCTCTTTGTTGGTGTATAGAGATGAGAGCCGAAACTCTCCTTTTATAGGCAGAGCCTCACTCTCTCATGCCTACTATATTTAACATTTTCCTCTCTACAGATTTGCAAATCACATAAGTGCCTAGCATATTTGGCATCTTGCAGATTTTTCTTCTTCATTATGGGGATGGACCCCACAATCTTTTTCTTCTTCATTATGGGGATGGACCCCACAATCTTTTTCTTCTTCATTATGGGGATGGACCCCACAATCTCCTTTTTTCTTTATTTCATTTATGGGAATTGACCCCACAAATCTCCCCCTCCAGACTCATTCACCTGAAGGAGTTAACACCGGACATCTAGCTTGAGTGCATGCCGACAAGTTCTTTGCACAATTCGAACTTGTCTCTTGGCACCACCTTGGTCAGCATATCTGCGGAATTCTCACTTATAGAAATCTTCAAGACTTTTAGAGATTCATTCTCTACCATTTCTCGAATCCAATGATATCTCACGTCGATATGTTTGGTCCTTGCATGGTAGATGGAATTCTTGCTATGTCTATTGCACTTTGACTGCCACAATAGACGACATACTCCTTCTGCTGCAATCCAAGCTCTTGAAGGAACCGTTCGAGCCATACCATCTCCTTGCCAGCTTCTGTAGCGGCAATGTACTCTGTTTCAGTTGTTGAAAGTGCAACACACTTCTACAATTTAGACTGCCGTAATATAGCTCCCCCTGAAAAAGTAAATAGATATCCAATAGTGGATTTTCTATTATCAGTATCACCGGCCATATCAGTATCCGTGTAGCCCTTTAAGATTGGTTGAGATCCTCCAAAACACAAGCAATCTCTTACAGTACCTCTTATGTGCCTGAGTATCCATTTGACTGCTTCCCAATGTTCCTTTCCAGGATTTTCAAGGAATCTACTAACAACACCAACTGCATGAGCAATATCAGGTCTCGTGCATACCATTGCATACATCAAGCTTCCGACTGCTGAAGAATAAGGAACTCTAGCTATGTTCCCTTTCTCCTCCACTGTTGTAGGACACATCTTCTTGCTCAACTTTAGATGACTAGCAAGAGGTGTGTTGATTGGCTTAGCATTCTTCATGTTGAAGCGTTCCAGTACACGTTCAATGTACTTCTCCTCAGATAGCCACAACTTTCTGTTTGTTCTCTCGAACTATCTTCATACCCAGAATTTGTTGTGCTGGGCCCAAGTCCTTCATATCAAATGACTTGGACAATTCTACCTTCAACTTTGCGATCAATCCCTTGTCTTTTCCTACAATTAACATGCCATCCACATACAACAATAATATAATAAAGTTATTCTCAGAAAATCTTTTGAAGTATACACATGGATCAGAATATGTCTTTGTGTAAGTTTGACTTTTCATGAATGAGTCAAACTTCTTGTACCACTCCCTTGGTGCCTCCTTCAATCCATAAAGACTCTTATTCAGTTTGCACACCATGTGTTTCCTTTCAGCTACTTCAAATCCTTCTGGTTGCTCCATATAGATCTCCTCTTCCAAATCTCCGTGAAGAAATGCAGTTTTCACGTCCAACTGCTCCACTTCAAGATCTAGGCTAGCTGTTAAGCTCAAGATTGTTCGAATAGAAGTCATTTTGACAACAGGTGAGAAAATTTCGTCAAAATCAATACCTTTCTTCTGTTCGAAGCCTTTAACCACCAATCGAGCTTTGTATCTGACTAGCTTTCCATTTCCATCTTTCTTGAGTTTAAAGACCCACTTACATTTGAATGGTCTTTTACCCTTTGGAAGTTCAATCAGCTTGTACGTGCCATTTTTCTGTAGGGATTTCATCTCTTCTTGCATGGCTTTCATCCACTGGTTCTTTTCTCGATGGGACAGCACCTCCTTAAGATTTTCTGGCTCCCCTTCATCACTGATGAGGACATACTCTGTGGCAGGGTACTTGCATGACTCTACCCTTGGCCTTTCTGATCTCCTCAGAGGTTGAGGTTGTTCTTCTCCCTGAGTGGGGTGCTCCACTTGCTCGACATCATCATCAAGTTGCTCCCCCTGCTCAATAACCTCACCAGGGTGCTCCCCCTGCTCGGCAACCTCGTTGGTCCTACTTTCTGCACTTGTGGGATTGTTAGAAGTAGAAGGAATAGTAACAAGGTTAGGAATTATACCATTCTTGGCCTTCTCTGGCATATCATCANCCTTGTTGGTCCAAACTCTCTCTGGAATGTCAAACGCCAACGGAACTGATGGACTCCTATTGATGAGGTAACAGGTTGTCTGAACTGCTTCACCCCAGAATGACTTATGTAGTTTAGCCATTCTGAGCATGCTTCTCACCTTTTCCACAATGGTGCAGTTCATCCTTTCGGCTACGCCATTGTGTTGTGGGGTTCCAGGAACTGTCTTTTCATGTCTGATCCCATGGCTCGAACAGTACTCTTCAAATTCCCTTGAAGTGTACTAACCTTCATTGTCACTTCGGAAACGCTTTAACTTTTGGCTTGTCTCCCTTTCCATCATAGCATGAAACTTCTGAAAAACTTGAAACACCTGATCTTTGGTTTTCAAAATATAAACCCATAATTTTCGTGAAGCATCATCAATAAAAGTAACAAAATATTTGTTACCGCCCATTGATTCAATTTCCATTGGACCGCAAACATCAGAATATACTAAATCAAGTATATTCAATTTTCTTTCAGACGATGTCTGAAATGAGACTCTATGCTGCTTACCAAATAAACAATAGTCACAAGGTTTTACCGTTGTACCTTTGGCATAAGAAATGAGTGATTTCCTAGCAAGAATATGCAATCCCTTCTCGCTCATATGAACCATTCTTTTGTGCCACAAATCTGTAGAAATCTCATCTTGTGCCGCGTTCAATTCACCTTGGCATATTCTTGCATTTGTCCTGTGCAACGTGCCACGAGCAACTCCCTTTGCAATCACCAATGATCCCTTGGTGAGTCTCCACTTTTGATTTGCAAAATAGTTCTCGTATCCATCTCGGTCTAAATCAATTCCCAAGATCAAGTTCATCCGCAAATCAGGTACATGTCGCACGTCCTTTAGAACCAATGTGCATCCGATATTTATCTTGATACAAATGTCATCAATCCCCGCAATCTTTGAGTAACTTGTGTTACCCATTCTCACAGTGCCGAAATCACCTGCTACATATCTGCAAAAAAGATCTCTTACCGGTGTGGCATGGTAAGATGTTGCTGTATCAACCACCCATTCCGACTATGGACATGATAAGTGCATGCATTCATCTTCCTCGTTTATAAAGAGGACAAACATTGAACCATGGCGGTTGTCTTGTCGTCATTCTTCTGGCCACTAGTTTCACATTTGCCCTTCCTTGGATTTGGGCAATCTCTTTTGAAGTGACCTGGTTGATCACAATTGTAGCAATTTCTAGCTCTTGATTTGGATCGGCTCTTAGACTTCCCACGAGCTCCGGATCTACCATAGTTGCCCGAACTCCTTTAATAACTCCTGCCTCTACCTTCTGTGATGAGAGCCTGTCCTTGATTTTCAGGCTTCTTTCTCATCTTCTCATTGAGTAGAAGAGCCGATGTGACATCTTTCAACTCAATAGTAGTCTTACCGTGCAAGATGGTTGTTGCCAAATTATCGTACGAAGATGGCAACGAGTTCAATAGCAAGATGGCTTTATCTTCTTCCTCGATTTTCACTCCGAGGTTGGCAAGCTGTGTGATTAGTCCGTTAAACACATTTAAATGTGACAAAAAATTCGTACCTTCACCCATGTGTAGGGCGTATAGCTACTTCTTCGGGTACAATTTTTTTGTCAGCGTTTTGGACATGTATAGGCTTTCCAACCTTGTCCAAATGCCACGTGCGGTGTCTTCATCAATGATGTTATTTACCACATCATCTGATAAGTGCAACCTGATTGCACTAGCAGCTCTTTCATCCAAGTCAGCTCAATCCTCAGCTTTCATGGTATCAGGCTTTTTGGCATCAGCATCAAGTACCTTGTGTAATCCTTGTTGAATGAACAGATCCCTCATCCTTCTTTGCCATGTTGAGAAACCGTTATCTCCGTTGAATTTTGTTACCTCGTACTTTACTCTAGACATTTTTTTATTTTTTATTTTTTTTCACCGAGTATAGTACTACCGACAGTGAATGGTACTTCTGAACCCCATACAGAAATAATATTCACAGTACTAAAAGCGAAATAATACCGTAGCACCGAAATACGGTAATTAACAAGAATAAAAGAGTGACAACGACATCAAGATTTTTACGTGAAAAACACTTTTGAATAAGAGAAAAAAATCACGGCCCCGAGACGAGCAACTGATATCACTATAGCAAGGAATTTTACACTTTGTTGGTCCAAGTAAAATACTCCAAAGACCACTACATCACACAAAAGAAATAACTCTCTTTTGATATTCCCACTTCACTACAATATCGCTCACTCTCTATTTTTCTCATAGACTATTTTCTTATACCCTGTCTGTGAAACCTCACTCTTTATTTCTATCTTTGTTGGTGTGTAGAGATGAGAACCGAAGCTCTTCTTTTATAGGCGGAGCCTCACTCTCTCACGCCTACTATATTTGACATTTTCCTCTCTACAGATTTGCAAATCACATAAGTGCCTAGCATATTTGGCATCTTGCAAATTTTTCTTACTCATTATGGGGAT